CNTAATAGAGGATCGATGGTTGGTCTAGTAACCACAACCCTTCGTTAGACAATTAAATCGTTGGTTCCAACTTCCAACCTCACTGACCCTCCCTATAAAAGTTTTAAAATAGTGACCCAAAAAAACCCTACTATAAACTAGGAATGCACACAAAAGTCCCAAGGTCCCAAAACTGACCCACCACCAAAAGCTTACCCATTTTCTCATCAAAAGACCAAGTACTAACCAACAACAACAAACCCCTCTCTCTCTCTCCATCCACTCNTACTCCTTGGCCAAATTCACGTCCTACAACATGGACATCGAGCCATTACTAGAAGTAGGGTAGCTATGTGGAGCTCTAGTACTTGTAGAAGACCGCACAGGAGTCTCAACTCCAACAACAGTACTAAAGCTAGGTCTAGTACACGAAGGAGTTGCAGCCTGGTAAAGAGTGGGGGCACCATCGGATCCCACCTCCCGGGAAACAACCTAGTCATTGGACCTGGGCTGAGAAGCACTGTGGGCATCAACCTTCACTCTCTTAGGAGGAGGGGAAGACATCACCCTAGAAGCATAGAGAGCCTACACCATCGCTCTATTAATAGTGGTACCGATGAAACTGGTATGAGAAAAAGAATCTGTAACATTGTAGTCATCAAAGGTTATTGGAAAGATCAAATAACTTTCCTCTTTTGCCTAGAGGAGGCTCTGGGATGACCCACTGCGGACATGAGGGTCATAAACTCCTTAATAGGATGATCCCGCATGGTCTGGAGCCTACTCTCCTGTCCGCAAATAATGTGGGTGAAGCAGCAAGGGAACCAAACATGCAGTGAACACAAGGACGTGACATTCAAATATGCAAGTAAGGGGAAAACTCAGACCTAGCTTGATCTTCAAAAGATTATCTCACCTCGAGTGCATCAGGTCACGATCCTCCTCAGCAGCCCACTCACCTCCAACAAAGAAAAACCTAGATTTTCAGATATGGCAATTTGAAGATAGCCCAATAATAAACTTACTGGACCTCAAAGTAAAGTGGTATCATCATTGATGAGGAGTAGGATTATCTAGAAGCACATACGAGACCAATAACTCCTTGAAAGGCGGGAAGCGTCCTCACCGTGAACTAACCTCCATAGTGAGAAGAGCGACAAAATTACCCTCCAATCATTCAGGGCCAGTCTCCTCGGAGCGAGTGACAAGTGGCCCAGGATCCAATAGATAGGCCTAGGTATAGGAAATCTCAATCCTACCTCTAAGACATCCTAGTGAAAAATGATCTTTCCCATTGAGTCATAACATGCCGACTCATCTTTCTCGACTCGAAGTCACATAACGGCAGGACGGATATGGAAAGACAAAACAATGCAGACGATGTCATCATCACAATCTATAGAGCTAAAGGTAGAGGTTGCCTTCAAACCATCGTTGCCAATGGTACCCTTGCCTCGTGGGGAATTCATTGCATTGTTCCTTATCATACCTCTATCAGAATAGATGATTGTCAAAATTAAGGCCAATGTCAAGGAAATCTCAATATTTGGCAGTTGCTAGACCTACAGAAACATCAAAGGGCAAGCAAAGTCACCTCACCTTCATAAGTTCTCGCGTTGATGCCCGTGTCCCCGTCTGGCCTGTGCCCACCATCGCCCAGCCCACTCGCGCCACTTGGCCTGTGCCCGTTGTAGCCCAGCCTGCTAGTGGCCTATGCTAGCAATCGCCCAACACCCTTTTGGCGTCGCCCTGCACCTAGCTGTAGTTGCCCACTATCTGGCTAGCGTTGCCCAGCTGCCTACTGGAGCCGCCCAATTGTATGGCATAACCCAGCTGTCTGTTGGCACCGCCCAGCTGTCTGGCATCGCCCAGTAGCCTATTGGCACCGCCTAGTTGCCTGGTGTCGTTCAGCCCTCTCTCGGTGTTGCCTCTTTCCGTGGCACTACCTCTTACTCACTTGGCGCTGTTACCTCCTTCATTGTTGTCTAAGTCGCCAACTGAACAGCCTTGTGGCTCGCCTCTCTTCTCTTTCGATATGTTTTCCCCCAAAGCACCACCTATAGAGCTCCTCTTCTCCATCCTCTTCCAACCTTTGATGGAAACTCCTAACTTTTAAAGAGGAGAACTTTTGATTGAAAAAGGGGATGGAGTGGTTCAAGGTATAAATGTTAACCTCTAAGAACCTGAGGGTTACCCCCCTAGAAAGGAAAAAAGGTGTTTTTATTGCCAAGGGGTGGGGTTTCTTCAAGCTTAGTAGAAAACCCGGGAAAAGCTTGTCTAGCAAAGGTGAATAAGGAAGTATGTTTTGAGAAAAGTGAAGAGTGTAGTGTGAAGGAAGGTATTTGGTCCGCCTAAATGAGGAACACACTCATGCCCTTAACCTCTTGTCTCTGCAAGGGCTTGCGGCATGTGGGGCAAATGACGAGCCCAGATCTAGCTGAGTTCAAGCCCAATTCATGGTAAAGCCCAAATCAATTAAAAAGCAGGTCAAGCCCAGCTCAAGGCCTTAGCTCAGTCCAGCTCAGTCCAACTTTCAAGAGTCTTAAGTAGGGGTATCCATGGGTCGGGCCGAGCTAAGCCCACGAAATTTTTTTCGGGCCGGGCTTGGGTAGTATTAGCCCAAGCCCTTACCCAAGTGAGTTATCGGCCGGGGCCGGGCCAGGCTTCGAGTGAATAGGCTACCCGCAACCCAACCTAAGAGCCTATTGGTCGGGCCTGTGGGGGGGGTGGGGGCTTGCTGGGTGGGCCTGCTTGCGGGCTTTAGTAAAATCAATATTAATAAAAATAAAATAATGAACTACATTCAATAGAATAAATAAATCTCAACTAGGTTGACACCTACTAACTTATCTATCATTTGTATTATTCTACAATTTAAAACTTATATATTTAATACATGGAAAAGAAAATAATACATTATTTATAATATCTAAAATTTTAAAATTTCAAATTTCGATATTGGAAGACTTATTTCAAAGTTTCAAATTTAATGGTTTAAATGTATAATTTTTTTTTAAAGGAAATGTGGGCTAGGTTGGGCTTGCTGGCAGGCGGGCTTGACAAGTGGGTTCTTGGGTCGGGCTTCGGGCCGGGTAATGGGTTTTGGGGCAAACCCAAGCCCTCTTTTTAAGGATATTGGGTTTGGGCTCGGGCAGGCCAACTATTGGATCTATCAGGCTTCGGGCCTATTTTTTTCGGGCCGGGTAACGGGACTCGTGGATAACTCGGCACATGGACACCCCTAGTCCTAAGGTGGTCAACACACGTGGGNGGGCCAACTATCGGATCTATCAGGCTTCGGGCCTATTTTTTTCGGGCCGGGTAACGGGACTCGTGGATAACTCGGCACATGGACACCCCTAGTCCTAAGGTGGTCAACACACGTGGGAAGTAAACGTCGGGATAACCATTGCACAAGGATCACACCTTTCCTTAATTGTACCTATCTCTAGTAGTAGCTATCCTTTCCTTAATTGTACCTATCTCTGGTCTTCACGCCACCGCCTCAACTAGGATTTTATGCCTATAAATTGTAAGTCCTCCACACATGAGGGACACCTGTCTCTCTCTCGCTCTCATAGCTATCTCACATACACTACACCCAGAGTTTATCTTTTCTCTCTCTCTCTCTCTCCCTCCCTCACACACATACTACTTTATTAATAAAGTTCTTTAGCCACCGTTATCACTTTCAGTGGTTTGGTTACCTAAACCCAATCACCCAATATTTGTTTCTTATTATTAACTATTTCATTAATTACCATGTATCATACACTTAACTGNTAAAGTTCTTTAGCCACCGTTACCACTTTCAGTGGTTTGGTTACCTAAACCCAATCACCCAATATTTGTTTCTTATTATTAACTATTTCATTAATTACCATGTATCATACACTTAACTGTTTGATTGTGCATAGCCTAATTTGTNCCTCCCTCACACACATACTACTTTATTAATAAAGTTCTTTAGCCACCGTTATCACTTTCAGTGGTTTGGTTACCTAAACCCAATCACCCAATATTTGTTTCTTATTATTAACTATTTCATTAATTACCATGTATCATACACTTAACTGTTTGATTGTGCATAGCCTAATTTGTGCATCATCACAAAATAACTCTTATTTTAAACACTATTTTATATATTTATATGCCATGTATCAAGCAATTAATCCCATGTTTCATACACCCTCATTAATTTAGTTTGTCTTTTCACCAATGGAAACATTTTGGAGTCGAGTTGACCTGAGCCACTACTTTTTAAATTCAGTTCACTTATAAATGATCTTAGAAATCTGAACAAAATTCATTTCATTATACNCATACACCCTCATTAATTTAGTTTGTCTTTTCACCAATGGAAACATTTTGGAGTCGAGTTGACCTGAGCCACTACTTTTTTAATTCAGTTCACTTATAAATGATCTTAGAAATCTGAACAAAATTCATTTCATTATACATCAGGAATGGAGTCTGCAGGCCCCAAAATCTAGCTGCGATTTGAGATGGTACACATCCCTGATTTAGCATTACGTTCCTGAGATTTGGCCTAGAGATGTAAATTATGATGTATTTGGATATTATATAATGGATTTGTAACCAGTCACATAAGTTGAATTGGAATAGTATTCTCAATTTCTCATGGCTGCATAGCAATCTCTTAAAGCTAATTGTTTCAGGAACTGAAAGGTAGAGAGAGCAGTTCAGATAATCTGTATGATCAATCTTTGTCATGCCAGATGTATATTTTGTCCCTCTCTTTGAGAGTTCTATATAACCTCTCTTTCGGGCTTCTTTTCATTTCTCTGTAGGTGGTTTTTCCTCGATTATCTATTCATTGATCAAAATTGTAATAGTTGATTGTTAATAGTGATCTACCGACGTATATTTAAAAGGAGAGAAGATATCAATGGATTTGGAAGCAAAATTTTCTCAATAGAAATACTTTTATTACTTCACACAATTGCATTGCCACTCAAGATGATAAGATTCTGCACCAACATAGGACGGAGAGTTCTAGATTATATCGACTGGAGCACCACTTGAACTCCATGTTGGGGGCGTATAGTGAGAAACGGAAAGGGTGAGTGGACATAAGATGGCGAAAGAGTGAACTTGTAACGTTGCAGGATCATTGAGAGTACAATCTTTGCTTCAGTATTTGCAAAGTTCAAGCCCACACACGTTCGAGGTCCATAACCAAATGGAAGAAAAGCCATCGTGTTGTTATTTGTTGCTTTAGCCACCCCTTCCAAAAATCTCTCTGGCTTAAAGAGGTGAGCATCTCGTCCCCATATTTCGGGGTTCAGGTGGAGTGCTAGAGGTGGAATAAAAATCTCTATATTAGGTGGAAGAACAAGCTTCCCCAGTCTAACTTTGCTTTTCACTGTTCTTGGAAGTGTAGTAACTGGAGGGTATAGCCTCAATGTTTCACAAATGATCATGTTGACCTACAAGAAAATTAAGAGAGAGGGGAACAAGTTAGATACTGAATTGCAAAAGGGGGCTACAAGCTGAACAAACAAAACTTAGTTGTTTTAATTTGCTTACAATCTTTAATTTCGCGATTCCCTCAGGATTGGGAGTTTCTTTGCCGAAAAGTTCAAGGACCTCTTCCCTGGCTTTCTGTTGCCAATCTGTGTGGATTGCTAGAAGAAGAATGACCCAAGTTAGTGAGCTGCTAGTTGTTTCATGTCCCGCAAGGTAGAATGTCTTGCACTCATCAATCAGATCATCTAGCGAAATCCTGTTATTCTCATCCTTGTCACGATAGATGTTTATCAGTGATCCAAGAAAATCATTCCCATAGCTATTTGCTTCTCCATTCTTGATTTTCTCTTCCCTTTTATTTACAATTGCTATAATGGAGTTACGCAGTGATTGTTCAAGTTCATCTGACTCAATATCATCCGCTGTTTTGTATAATTTTCTGTAAAAGAGAGCGTAGATTAATTTACGCCCAAACAAAATATTCAGATGTCAATTGGCAATTGCCCCATAATTAAGAGACTCCCAAGAAGCAGAAGGAAAACACTAACACAGGTGAGTGAAACACTTTTTCTAACTACATTACTGTCAAATAAAATTTAGTTGTAAGAATTAGTGAACAAGATTCTACTCAAGGTTATGACCAGCTAACAATGTAATACTTGTACTAGTAGTTGAAGAACAAGAGTGAAGACAGCAGGGGATGCTGCAACAACGTTAGAGAGAGAGAGAGAGAGGGAGAGAGGTATAGGTGAACATTAACTAGGATGTGTAGTTATTCTGTTCATCAAATGTCAAGTGTAAAACATCCTGATTGACTGCTATTAACTTGTAATAGACATAGTTAAACAACTGAAAGAATACTAATGGGGTAAGACGAAGCTTACTCGGGGATGGGAAAACGTACTTTCCCATCATTTCTGAAAAGTACTATGCCCAACTTCTCCAACATCTCAAATATACTTTTCCCTTCCAAGTAACTGCTTCCAAAAGCTGTCTTTGATATCACTTCTGATGTCAAAACACTGAATGCTTCATATACCTCTGTCTCCTTACCTACATTATGTCTCCATCCTTCGAGCATAGCTTCTACACTTGCAATCATTGTTGGAACCATCTCCTGAATACAAGGCCATCCTTTGAAATTATTATCACTTAACGTCTTAACCTACTTTGATATTAAATCTGACCATGATTAAAAAACTGTTTCATTAATAGGTAGAAGAATATAAAACCTTCAAACTCTCAGCATGGAAAGCATGGTTTGCCAGTTTGCGTAGCTTTGACCATTTTTTACCTTCTGTAACTACGAGCCCATCTCCTATTAACTTCTTCGCATGACTTTGGAGTTTAACTTTTGGAAATGCACCATTTTTATTGCTTAGTATCTCTTTTATTAGCTCAGGTTCAGTAACAANAAAACCTTCAAACTCTCAGCATGGAAAGCATGGTTTGCCAGTTTGCGTAGCTTTGACCATTTTTTACCTTCTGTAACCACGAGCCCATCTCCTATTAACTTCTTCGCATGACTTTGGAGTTTAATTTTTGGAAATGCACCATTTTTATTGCTTAGTATCTCTTTTATTAGCTCAGGTTCAGTAACAACCAATTGAGCTTGAGGACCATTCCAAAAAAGAAAATGCTTCCCTGTTCCAATAGCAATAATTAGTCTTCGAAACTCTGTCTAGGATTAAGGATTCATGACTAACACTTAAACAATGTTTAATTAACGAGTTCTTACCATATTGCTTGATCCACGAGTACATGTGAGGCTGAATCCTGGAAAATATGTCATGTGACAAGTCCATGGGACGGATCATGGATATTTTTTTCAGGTTAATCATCTCTTTGTTGTTTCCATGGAAGAATTCATAAGAAGGGCCTTTGACTCCTTGAGACCTCATGACATATTGAATGTAGATTGGAGTCCACCATACCTTGTGGAAGAACTTGATCAGAATTAGGAGGAAAAGTGAGCAAACAAAACCTGAAACAAAGGTTATCATGGCTTCAAAACACAACCAAGTCTTGTTGTTTTGAAAACAATGAACTTGTTAGCAACTATATACACCTAATATTCTTGGTTGATGCATAAAAATATTGATCTCTTGGGAATCAGTGAAATGAAACTAAATGACAGTCTTGGCTAAATCCCGAGGAGAGGCGATAAAAACAACATAATAATATAGTTGATTGAACAAGTTAGAACAAAGGCTAATACTTTTGTTTTAATCGACTGGCTGATTAAAACTGAAACCTTTGTCCTTGTTCCGATAATCTCTTACTCAACTCAACAATCTCGTGGAAATCACTTGGGCTAAGGTCACGAGAGATTTAACTCTCATGAATACCCTAGTCCGGCGTAGATAACCTGTCTTGGACTGAAATGGAGAGGAAATTAGTCGATGTATACGTAAGCTGACCTAGATACCCTGGATTGTTGAACCAAATAAAATATGAAAAAAGAAAAGAAAAGAAAAGGCTTTGTCTCCATTTTTTGAGGTCGGCTATATGAATCNCCCTGGATTGTTGAACCAAATAAAATATGAAAAAAGAAAAGAAAAGAAAAGAAAAGAAAAGGCTTTGTCTCCATTTTTTGAGGTCGGCTATATGAATCTTGTTATTCTGTTGTGCCACTTTTGTTTCACATTGCTCCAATCACAAATGTCTATTATCTTTTTTTGATGAAAATCGCTGACGTGTCAAGTAGAGTGAAAACAATCACATAGTTTCAGGGGCAAAATAAAATAACTTTCCATTAAATATGTAATGGACGTTAATAATTAGGGCAATATGAAACTAATCACATAGTTTATGGTGCAATATGAGAAATATGGTAGTTAAAAGGGCAATGTGAAAAAGTGATTGTTTAGGGGGTGTAAGTGTAATTTTACCCCAAAGACATTAATATAGTATGAATGATAGTAATACATTGGTAAAGTTAGAACCTAGAAGGCTTATCCTTTTGTTTTAGTGGATGATGATGAATTGTTTCCGTTGATAAACTTGCAGGAAAGTGACTGGCTGATTAAACCGAAACCTTGGGCCTTTGGCCTGGTTCCAATAATCTCCCATTCAACTAAGCCTTTATCTCCCATTAAAGTTTTATATTAATTGTCCGTTACTTAATGTAATCATCCTTATTTATTCGAGCTTGAAACCGCCCGTGTGTAAAAGTTAAACGCTAAAATAACACAAGTGGAGTTTAATAATCCCTTGTATGAATATAAATTATAGTTCACTAAATTGCCGTATTGGCTTGAAACTTCTATTTAATATTGTATTTTCTCTATCTCTCTCTCCCTCTCTCCTTCTATATATATATATATGTGTGTGTGTGTGTGTATATATATGCTTGGCACATATAATTAGGGGTGTTCACCTACCCTACGGGTATGAAATATGATTTTTTATCTTCTTATCCAATATTTTGTGAAAGAATTTTTTCTTAGTCTACCCTATCCGATCAAGTGTGGTATTCTTACCCAATCGGATAGGAAATCGGGTGAACACTTTTCAAATTATTAATTATTGGATTATTTTAATAATTCAATTAAATAACATGCACAAATTTAACAATATAATAAACTAATAACACTAAAAGCTAAAATAATTACATTAATATATATATTAATGCGGGTAGAGTAGGATAAGAATACAAAAATAAATGACTATATTGCATTCCTACCCAATTTAATCGAAAAATCAAAAATTCTTCCGTATTCCTATCCGATTTTNGGAATAGAAAAATAAATGACTATATTACATTCCTACCCAATTTAATCGAAAAATCAAAAATTCTTCCGTATTCCTATCCGATTTTTTTCGGGTAACCGTTCAATAGAGTCAATTAAATTAAGAAATTACAAGCAATCTTACATACAATATGCTTTCCCGGGAATGGATCTAGGATTTTATGATAACAGGTGCCAAATAGGTACGGTGGCACGATCAGAAATTTTATTTGATAAGTCAAAAAAAAAAAAAAAATTTACTTACTATCATAAAATTTAAATATGTGATCTTTCTTGGATTGTGTCAGTGATAATATATTTGCCTGCTTTATAATTGGGTTCAAAGCAAGTAACAACCCATTTCTCAGAACTTAGAATCACGAATATGGAAACATGATATATGTGATGTGATAGATAACAAAACTTAAAAATAAATATATTTTACATCTAAAATGGAATATATTTTTATAATTTTTTAAAATTTTGTATGTAATATATCTTAAATTTTAAAATTTCCATGTGTTTTATTTTTGTTATTATCTGATGATTAATAAATACAATTTTCAGTAATTTTTTTTTTTTTTCATAGCAATCCGAACTATCAGTAATTTTTAGTTTCAAAAAATATTAAATAGCCCCACATATATATAACCACGAAGTGCATGTCTAATTCAAAGAACTCTTATTCAATAATTATGAGTGTTTAGATCAATTTAATTAATCATTTCTTTGGTTCGATCATAGTTAGGCAAGTCATTTATGTTAGACTAAAATATTCATAAGAGATAAGTCTCTCATGACCTACTCTTAAAAAAATTACTAAAATTGAAACTTAAATGAAAGAAACACAGCCACGATGTTATTTGATTCTCAAATTATGTAATCCAAGCTAGAATTAAAGATTGGCTTGGGTGACATCTGAACTCTCTAATTCGAGTTGAATTCAGAGAATTTATAACTCCTATACAAGTATTACCCGAGTTTAAAAGTCATTTGACGTATTAAAAATATTTGTTAAAATATAGAATATTTGTAGCTATACTCGAATTGGATTCACTCACTTGCACCCCCTAACTCTAGAAATGTGGAATCTCTTGATCAAGGGAGTGTTGCATTATCATACATATAGGTGGTGTATAATCAATTTTTTAATAATTTTTTTTTCTATTTTGTTTAAGTACACAAGATCAAAAAAATGGAAATTTTTTAAATTTATTTTAAACACATGCCAAATTTTATTTTTTTGTTGTTTCAATAATAAAAAATAAAAAAAAATTCAGCAAGAGAGATAGAGAGATGGAAGTCAAATGTTGAGGGTAATAATGTAAAATAACATGTTATTTCATATGTGGCTTCATCCGAGTAAATGAATCCCACATGCTAGGTGGGTTTCATTTATCCAGTTCAAAAAAGATNAACATGTTATTCATATGTGGCTTCATCCGAGTAAATGAATCCCACATGCTAGGTGGGTTTCATTTATCCAGTTCAAAAAGGATTAGTTCATGAATTCCTACGGTTGAGTAATTCAATCCCCAACGTTTATCTCATTGTATTTTTTGGATCCAATGCTGGGATATGTAGGCCCGTATTTGAATCCAATCTAACATGTCTTATCTACCTTTATCCTTCCAAACAAACACCACCATATAGGATAGGCACATGAGGATATTGATAAAACTAATCCTANTATCTACCTTTATCCTTCCAAACAAACACCACCATATAGGATAGGCACATGAGGATATTGATAAAACTAATCCTACTGACTAGTACAAAATGACCCTCTAATACTTCCCCGCAAGCTATGCGGGGGTGGAAGCACGCATATATTGTATCTCATTTCTTTAAATTTAGTGGCAGGCAAATTTTTTGTGAAGATATCCGCTAATTGATTATGTATGGACACATAAAGAATGCAGAGTTGAACCCAAGCAACATGTTCACAAACAAATTGAATGTCCACTTCAATATGCTTTGTTCGAGCATGTTGGATAGAATTGGCAGTCAGGTAGCTGGCATTGATATTGTCACGATAGACAGTGGTGAGCTGTTTAAGGGGAACATGCAAATCACGGAGAAGAGATTTGAATCCAATATGTATCAGCCATGGCATAAGCAATAGAGCAATATTCCGCTTCAACACTAGAGCGGGAGACGGTGGGCTGTTTCTTAGCACACCATGAAACAAGATTGGAGTCAGAAGAACCAGCCCAGACAGAGTTAGAATAAGTCATAATTTGATCAAATTGACTTTTTTATAGTTGAAGGCCATAGTGAGCAGTCCCTCAAAGATAACACAATATATGCTTAGCGGCCGAGAAATGAGACTCTCTAGGGGCATGCATGTATTGGCAAACATGATGAACCACAGAAGCAATATCCGGGTGAGTGAAAGTCAAATAATGTAATGCACCAACCAAGCTACGGTNAAGAAATGAGACTCTCTAGGGGCATGCATGTATTGGCAAACATGATGAACCGCAAAAGCAATATCCGGGTGAGTGAAAGTCAAATAATGTAATGCACCAACCAAGCTACGGTAATTTCAGGGGTCCGAATAAGGAGGATCACGTGCCGAAGATGGAGAAGACTTGTTGGTTAGAGGAGTGGCATGATGTAATTGATTCCTTTCTAAAAGATCCTTGGCATACTTATAATGCGATAAAAAATCACCATCTGAATTGGATGTGACCGTAATGCCAAGAAAATGATGTAATGTGCCCAAGTCACTCATGGAGAACTTGGACTTGAGCGAGGCGTTGGCCTCATGTAACAAAGATTGTGACGAAGCCGTTAGAAGGATATCATCAACATATAAAAGGAGAACAACCATATCATTGTTACGATGGTAGATAAATATGGAGAAGTCAAATTGACTATAGATAAACCTTGATGAAACAAAAAGCTAGTAAAACACTGAAACCAAGCACGAGGTGCTTGTTTTAATCCAGAGCTTTGTTCAATGGACAAACATGAGTTGGAAATTGGGGATGAACAAAACCTCCAGTTCCTTCATATAGATAATTTTCATGAGTTCACCATGCAAGAACGAATTTTTTACGCCAAGTTGACGAACAGGTCAACCACCAGAGAGTGCTAGAGAAAGAACAGTTTGAATTGTATTGGGTTTGACAACCAGACTATAAGTCTCATCATAATCAATGCCAAGTTGCTAATTAAAACCCTGAGCAACAAGGCGCACCTTATAAAATTCCAAAGATCCATTAGAGCGTTGTTTAATCTTATAGACCTACTTGGAGCCAATGAGATTGGTAGAACATGGTAGAGGTACTAAAGACCAAGTTTGATTTTGCAGAAGAGAATTATATTCGTCAAGCATGGCGTTGCACCAGTGCTGATGTTTAATTGCTGCAGTGAAGGAATGGGGTTCTAGAGGTATATCCGAAGAAGTGGAATGGGTGAGCAAAGACGGTAAAACATAGGGCCGACGTGTACCATCTTTGTTTTGGGTTATCATCGGATGTTGAGAAGGTAACAGAATAGACACAAGGGGACTGGGGAATGAGCATGGAGGTGAAGTTTGGATAGGGAGGGATGGATTGTCATCTGGTGTCTGAGTAGTAGAGGATTCCAGAGATAGAGATAATGGACGATTAGAAGATGAGGATTGGAGGGACATTCAGATAAGGACTGTTGGAGTTTTAGCTAGGAGCCGAGAATTTGAGGACACTGGAGATAGAGATAAGGGTGGACCTAGGATAGGCAGAGGCAACTGAGGTGATAAGTCTGGAGTATCGAGTACATGAGGAGGTGCGGAGGGGATAAGGGACAAAGAGTACTTAGCAAGATGGGAAGACAATTGCGTGGAAAAGAAAAGAGTCCAAAGATTAGAGGGAATAAGTGGATTTAAGTGATCAATTGGTCTGCTTAGAGATAATGAAGATGAGTCCAACTGAGAAGAAGAATTTCGAAGAAAGAAGGGAAAAAGAAATTGTGTCTCGTCAGAAGTCACATGCCGAGAGATAATAATTTGACCATGGGAGGGATCAAAACACCTATATCCCTTACGAGATTCTGAGTAGCCAACGAAGATACAAGGAGCAGAACCGGGATAAGATTTTTTAGCATTTTTAAACAAATAAATAAATGGGTCTAACATATGGTTTACTGTGTTAACCTGACCCTACCCAACACGATTCGTTTAAATTAAAGGGGTTAAATAAGTCGTGTTGTGTTATACGTTTATTAAACGGGTCATGTTTGTGTTGAAATTTTTTACCCGTCTTTTGTTTAGCCCGACACGTTTGACATTCCTTTCTCTCTCTTTCTTGGTATATGGGAAAATAATTTGATTCCATTCTACATACCAAAGATATTCAAGATAGAGAAAATAATTTAAAAATAATCTTACGTTTCATTTTAATCGCCTAAACAATCAGAATTTTGGAACCTTGTGCCTGTTTTAGGTATGACACGGTGGTGTCGTTGGGAAATAAAGAAGAAGACCATCATCTCATCCTTTAGAACCTCGTTCCTGTTTTAGGTATGACAGGCAAGGGCGGATCTACTAGTGGGCTAAGTTGGGCTGAAGCCCAGAGTAAAAAAAAAAAAAAAAAATTTACCATTAAGTACCAATCCACCCCCCAAAAAAAATCTCATTCAACCCAACCCAACCCAGCCCACCTGCAAAACTTTCCCAAAATCAGTCAATTTACGTCTTCTCTGAGTCACTTCCCCTTCCCCAAAATCAGTCGATCTCTCTCTTCTCTCAGTCACTTCCCCTAAAATTAGTTGGTCTATCTCAGTTTCTTCTCTCTCAGTTTCTTCTCTCTCAGACGGTCTCTCAGTCACCTCCCTCATCCCTCTTCTACCCAAACACCATCCAAATAAGATTTTGAAGACTTCGATGGTTGAGAAAGTCGATCAATCGCGCCCGAAGATTCTAACTCTTTCTTCTCCGGTACAAAAGAGTGTTGATCAGAGTGATATGGAGATGGTTGGGGGATTTCTAAAGAATTGTTACTATTGCAAGAAGAAGATTCTTGAAGATGTTAAAGTTTTCATGTATGGGTAGGGTTTCTCCACTCTTCTGTTCCTTTTTTTTTTTTTTTTTACTTATTTGTGCATTTTGAACTCCATTATTTTTTGAATTTGATTCGGTTAATTTACGTTTATGCTTCGTCTGATTAATTTCAATCTAGTTGTTGGTCCAGTCTCAATAGCCTCTCTTGTCATAGCCACAATGCTTAGTGAGGCGGTTTCTTATACTGAGGAGCCTATTGTTTATCTTCAATTGGCTTTCACTACTATTTTATTTGTTGGTTTATTTTAGGCTGCATTGGGTTTTCTAAGGTATAAACAATTAGTAGCAATCTAAACTTAGTATTGTGGATCTTTTTTTTATGTTCAATATCCATTTTGTTTTATGAGGATTGATGAAATTTTTTTTAACAAACGGAGATTACTTTCTCAATAAAGCCAAAAGGAAACACCTTTTGAGAAAGATATGCCTTNGTTTTAGCTAGGAGCCGAGAATTTGAGGACACTGGAGATAGAGATAAGGGTGGACCTAGGATAGGCAGAGGCAACTGAGGTGATAAGTCTGGAGTATCGAGTACATGAGGAGGTGCGGAGGGGATAAGGGACAAAGAGTACTTAGCAAGATGGGAAGACAATTGCGTGGAAAAGAAAAGAGTCCAAAGATTATAGGGAATAAGTGGATTTAAGTGATCAATTGGTCTGCTTAGAGATAATGAAGATGAGTCCAACTGAGAAGAAGAATTTCGAAGAAAGAAGGGAAAAAGAAATTGTGTCTCGTCAGAAGTCACATGCCGAGAGATAATAATTTGACCATGGGAGGGATCAAAACACCTATATCCCTTACGAGATCCTGAGTAGCCAACGAAGATACAAGGAGCAGAACCGGGATAAGATTTGTTAGCATTTTTAAACAAATAAATAAATGGGTCTAACATATGGTTTACTGTGTTAACCNCTTTTTTTTATGTTCAATATCCATTTTGTTTTATGAGGATTGATGAAATTCTTTTTTACAAATGGAGATTACTTTCTCAATAAAGCCAAAAGGAAACACCTTTTGAGANTCTGAGTAGCCAACGAAGATACAAGGAGCAGAACCGGGATAAGATTTTTTAGCATTTTTAAACAAATAAATAAATGGGTCTAACATATGGTTTACTGTGTTAACCTGACCCTACCCAACACGATTCGTTTAAATTAAAGGGGTTAAATAAGTCGTGTTGTGTTATACGTTTATTAAACGGGTCATGTTTGTGTTGAAATTTTTTACCCGTCTTTTGTTTAGCCCGACACGTTTGACATTCCTTTCTCTCTCTTTCTTGGTATATGGGAAAATAATTTGATTCCATTCTACATACCAAAGATATTCAAGATAGAGAAAATAATTTAAAAATAATCTTACGTTTCATTTTAATCGCCTAAACAATCAGAATTTTGGAACCTTGTGCCTGTTTTAGGTATGACACGGTGGTGTCGCTGGGAAATAAAGAAGAAGACCATCATCTCATCCTTTAGAACCTCGTTCCTGTTTTAGGTATGACAGGCAAGGGCGGATCTACTAGTGGGCTAAGTTGGGCTGAAGCCCAGAGTAAAAAAAAAAAAAAAAATTTACCATTAAGTACCAATCCACCCCCCAAAAAAAATCTCATTCAACCCAACCCAACCCAGCCCACCTGCAAAACTTTCCCAAAATCAGTCAATTTACGTCTTCTCTGAGTCACTTCCCCTTCCCCAAAATCAGTCGATCTCTCTCTTCTCTCAGTCACTTCCCCTAAAATTAGTTGGTCTATCTCAGTTTCTTCTCTCTCAGTTTCTTCTCTCTCAGACGGTCTCTCAGTCACCTCCCTCATCCCTCTTCTACCCAAACACCATCCAAATAAGATTTTGAAGACTTCGATGGTTGAGAAAGTCGATCAATCGCGCCCGAAGATTCTAACTCTTTCTTCTCCGGTACAAAAGAGTGTTGATCAGAGTGATATGGAGATGGTTGGGGGATTTCTAAAGAATTGTTACTATTGCAAGAAGAAGATTCTTGAAGATGTTAAAGTTTTCATGTATGGGTAGGGTTTCTCCACTCTTCTGTTCCTTTTTTTTTTTTTTTTTACTTATTTGTGCATTTTGAACTCCATTATTTTTTGAATTTGATTCGGTTAATTTACATTTATGCTTCGTCTGATTAATTTCAATCTAGTTGTTGGTCCAGTCTCAATAGCCTCTCTTGTCATAGCCACAATGCTTAGTGAGGCGGTTTCTTATACTGAGGAGCCTATTGTTTATCTTTAATTGGCTTTCACTACTATTTTATTTGCTGGTTTATTTTAGGCTGCATTGGGTTTTCTAAGGTATAAACAATTAGTAGCAATCTAAACTTAGTATTGTGGATCTTTTTTTTATGTTCAATATCCATTTTGTTTTATGAGGATTGATGAAATTCTTTTTTACAAATGGAGATTACTTTCTCAATAAAGCCAAAAGGAAACACCTTTTGAGAAAGATATGCCTTTTGGTATAATTTATCACTGTAAATCATAAAAAACTTTAGATTTAGAATAATGGTTATGTCCCAGAGTAACACCTCTAAGATGAAATTATTAGTACTGGTATGATTGAAAGGGAAACAACTGGGCTTAAAGAATCAATGTAGTAGTTTAGTAAATCTAATTTCACTGCTATCTTGATTCTGTTAATCAATGTTTTGGGTGAGGCTCTGAATCTATATTGAATGTGTATTCGGTGATTTACAGGTTAGGATTTATGATTGATTTTCTCTCCAAGGCAACTCTTGTTGGATTCATGGCTGGTGCGGCAATCATAGTTTCATTGCAACAACTGAAAGAATTGCTTTGGATAGTTCACTTTCACCACCAAAATGCAAATAATTGTTGTTCTATCTTATGTTTTATAGCAAACCTGAATTTACATTTTTATAATTTTTTATTCGAAGACAAATAATTTTAGTGGATCTCAAACCTAAAATTATTATAATAAAAAATATAATAAGTAGGTGACTCTTCTAGTCCCAGGAATTTGCAATACAAGCATACTGCTTCTCCTCAAAAGAAAACGGCAATCAAAGGTGGAGTGGAATCCCACAATGGCTTTTGCAGTGGGCGTATGGGCTGGAATTACTCCTGTAGCGTATGGTATTTCTGGGCTGCTCTCAATTCCTGAACATAACTTTGAAGCCAAATTCGAAGACGACTCCGAATATTTCCCGGATGACTTCCAGTATGAGTATGATCCACATCACCCATTATATGACCCGGATGACTTCGGATATGACTCGGATGACGATCCATATGACCCGGATGATTATTTCCTCAGCCATGAAGATTAGAGAAGATGTCAGAGCCAAAGGATGGACAGCTGGGCTACCGATGCGGTGTGATTTTGCTTTTCTGATNTACCAAAGTTCTCAAACATTAAAAACAGTTGATTCTGCTTGTCTTGAACATTGTTCATCATACTATCTGCTCCAACCTCTTTCAACTTCACCTGCATGTTGTTCATCATGTTTTCTGCCCCCATTCCCCTCAGCTTGTCCTGTAAATTGTTCATCATCGTTTGTATCCTCATCTCTCTCTCTCTCTCAATTTGATTCCATTCTACTTACCAAAGATATTCAACCTGCTTCACTTAGTGGCTTACATTAATTTTAATAACATAATATCAATGTTAGTGCTCCCCTTGAATTATTGTTCTTCTTTTTATGGGCATGGGTGCTTTTTTGAAAATAAAACAATTACTTTTTAGTACAGTAGTTGTACCCTTTATTTGCAAGCTCTGTTTCTACTTTTCCAAGAACCATCAGCAATGAACTGTTGCGGTTACTTTTTAGTCTTTTGGGAATCATGGCCACGGATGCGAATGTGGGAATCGTATCCAATATAATATGAACATAGAAATACAATAAAATTTTAAAATATAAGGCATGAGTACAAAAAGAATACGATTAATTAAAATAATAATATATTTTTTTCTATGTATACAAATATTAATAAAAACTAATAAGACCTAACAAACATTAATTTTTTTGTTATAATTAAAATATATTAAAGATTCAAAATACACATCCACCATTTTCTCGGAGTGGATCCACAACATAAGAGTAACAAAAAAAAAAAGACACAGCATAGCAATAACAAAAAGAAAAAGAAAAAGATTGTGGTGGATGCTAGCAGTAACAAAAAGAAAAAGAAAAGGAACGTGGTGGATACACAGCACAACAGGCACAACCACCAGCAGATCTGGAGTGGATACATAGCATAGCAGGCAACAAACAACAAATCTGGGGCTTCGAATCAGGGGATTCGCAGTCACAGGTATGATCTTCTCTTCCTTCTTTTTCTCCTTATCTCGAGTATTCGGGTCATATCCGACTACAAAAAATTTTCTTCTCTTGTTCAGGACACTTCTAGAAGTGTCAGACACGTGTCCGGCTGTGTCCCACGCATATCCGTATCGGACATGTGTCTGACACTGCCACGATGACTCCCCGGCAAGTATCCGTGCTTCTTAGACAACCATTGATCTTGTTTATTTAGGGTTATTTTGAAAATGAATTTTGGTAATGAATAATGTAAAACCGATAAAAAAAAAGGGGATTAAAAATTGGGACCAAATAGGTTACAGTTGTGACTTAGTTAGATATACATTTTTTTAAATTGATTTTAAAAATATTAAAATTTATTCAAAAAAAAATTAAGATCCTAATTTTTTAAGATCAACTCTAGTCAACTTCATTTACTTGTAATTTAGTCTATTTAGGTCTTACGTGGATAACTTTTTGAAACAATGTACAAAATCCCTTGAGAAAAAAGTGATAATTACCAAACAACTGCAGCCCTCACTCAATTTCAAAATGCACAAACGGGGATATCTTCAAGACAAGCTTCTGTAGTCACCATACATTACATAACTTTTTTTTTCGGTAAGCAAGATGAATATCATTAAAATCGAAAGAGGTTCATGTACAAAAGAGATTCCAACGAAATGATTGATCTTATGAACATGAGAAAAGAAGATCCTCCATTTCCAAAACAAAAGAAAAATAAAATGAACAAAAAACCAAACAGAAGTAGCAACATTAGCATCATGGTAAAACAACCATCAACCAGAAAGCTCCAGCAAAAAACTCCAATACTACTTTTGTGTTCCATGTTGATGATGCTCGGATATGAAGGCCCAAGCCCAGCAGATGATATTTTGAGGATTTTGGCAGGTAAGCTAGTCCAAAGGTCAATCAATGGGGAATAGAAGAAAATAATGTGTAAGTGGTTCACCTTAGTCAAGAGACTAAGACTATGTCCACTGTAAGGGAGTCTCTTGCTCCTTGAGATGTATATTATTTGATTTAGTAGTGACTACAATGATAGTGCAGGCAAGGGCCTTTACAAGAGCAAACGCTTCTCGCCCTACCCACCGTGTTGAGTGCTCGAGAGTGTAATGAAGAAGATGATACTCTTTATGGTAGGGTAACAGTGTTCTATGTATACAAGTGATCCCCTTTAGGGTTTCCGGTGGCTCCTTCCTCCTTTTTATTGATTCTGTGGGCCCTCCTGTTATTATCCTACTACAATCTCTATTATTCGGCGTCATTATGCCCACAACCCCTAGATGGTTATGCTCACCAATATCCTCTGCATTAAGGAGTGCATGATTGCCATAAGTGTCAGGTAGTGCGTGATTGTCATGGTTATGCGCACTAACACCCTCTGCATCAGGGAGTGCATGATTGTCATAGGTGTCAGAAGTGGTCCCTTTGTCACGTGGCGCGACGGAAGTCTTCCAAAATTGGCGTTAGGCTAGGCTTCCTTATCCTGGGCTGTCCTTTGGTTGAATTGGTTTGGGGCTAGTTTGGAATGCAAGTCTTTTGGTCCCGTCGGGCTTTGCCCTTTGGATTCGGCCCTCTCTATTCTTAATGTGGGCAAGCCGTGGGCACTTCATTTAGGCCATTATGTAAGCAAGGATTTCTTGGACTTATTGGGCTCTTAGACCATGGTGGCCCATATCCAAGATCCCATCATTATTAGTTGCCCCCAGCCTTAAGTCACGAGGATGAGGTCAGCTCTGACCTGGGGTTAGAAGCGTCTTTTTTTGAATTTGGCATTTTTTCCCTGAGTGGCAGTTGTGCTTAATTGTTGGCTCTGACCTGAGTTGGGCTGTGTTAACATGTGTTTTCTATGATGAGATAGTTATGCACACTTGTCGCCTAGGGTGAGCCCATTGGTACGGTTCCCTTTGCGTGTTCTGTCACATATCTGTCACGAATTAAATGCTATGTATAAAAGAGAGAAAATCTATTCGCCTTGCCCACCTTGAGCTTTTGAACCCTCTTCTTTTCTTGTCTTCATTCCTTCGGTTCTTGAGGCGTCTTGTTCCAAGCTCTTCTGCGATTTTAGGGTTTAGTTCCTTTCTATTTCTAGCATCCGACTAGGTTCGTTTCTCTTTCCTCTTTCTTTTTGCTCGATCTGGATCCCTTTAACCCTCCTTGGTGGGTCTTTGGGTTTCGCTTTCTGATTTCAAGGTTTAGTTACTTCAGGAATCATTTCGACGATTTTTCTTCCCTTTCGCGATTTGTAGATCACTCCTCGCTATTGAGGATATCCTTTTTTAGGACTTGGTGTCTAAAATCTTTGTTCTTGACGGATTACGCCTTGCATTTGCCTCCTCTTCATTCTGATTTACGATTTGAGCCACTGATGAGGAGGGTTGTTGTTTCTTCTTCTGAATCTGAGTTTGAGGAACATGTCGATGAGGAGGTTAATGCAGCTTCCTCTAGTGGCCATTCTCTCACTATTGGCGAGGAGGCTTTTGGGTCTGCCTTTAAAGTTTCAACCTTAGCTCCTTTGGCAGAGGCTCAAGCTCCTTTAGCTTTACCCCCTATTCCTTCTGACGAATCGAAGAAAAGGAAGTCTAAGTTGATTCCGCCTTCCATTCCTAGGAAAAAAACTCGTTGCAATCACTCCGACCTGACATGTTGTGCAGAGACAACTCCCAGTTGTCTTGATGACGAGGATCTAAAGGAGCTGAGACAGGAATATCATTTTCCTGATTCTATATCATTGCATTCTCCCGAAGTGCATGAGAGGTGCAATTCCTGTATTCTCGGGTTAACCTGTTTCTTTGAATCTGCATTTCGGGTCGGTCTTTGGTTCTCAGTTCATCCCTTTATTCAGAATGTCCTTGGTTTTTACAATATTTGCCTATTCGGACTGAGGCCTTCTAATCGTATTCATCGTTCACTAATTCGAGAACAGGAATGAATCTCCTCCCACCATTTGAGAATTTGCCTCTCTTTTCCAGCTTAAGTCTTCTCCTTCCTTGAGATTTTTGTATTTTTCCAAGAGGGTAAAGGTGAAGAATATGATTTTTGGGCTTCCCTCCTTCAACAAGGGGTGGAAGCCACGGTTCTTCTTTGCTAGAGATGACCCCTAGGCATTGTCAGGAGAGCCTGGTGATGTTCCTCGCATCCCTAGGTTTTGGGGGGTCCCAAGGAATACTAGTAAGGTCAATTGGTTGGCTATGCTCTATTTCCTATGCTTGTTTTCATCAATATCTTGCTAACTTTTGATCTGACCTGTAGGTTTCTGTCCAACACTTAAAGTGGAGGAGGCGGCCAGAGTTGCTAGAGCCAAAGCCTTTGGGTTGCAAGCTTTTCCTGAACTTGTGACGGACGAGAATCTAGCGAAACACGAGCTTGGGCTACTTGTCGAGACTACTCCAGAGACAGTGCCTCCATTTGCCCCCTAGCCTAAGCCCATGGACTAAGATCTTATCATGGCCGTTTTCTCAGATATGGAGAAAACAAGGAAGAAAAGGAGATTGGTGAAAAGTTCAGATCAACCTCCCAAGTGGGGGCAGGCGTCTGTTAGCGAGGAGGAAAAACGTGAGGTTCTTTCCTCCCTTGCGGGTGTTAACTTACCTTCTCTGCCCCTTGAGCTCTTCGAGGGCAAATCTATGATCGAGGGGTCTTTGCCTGTGCAGCCCACAACTCCATCAACTTCCCATATCCCTCCAAAACTTGTTTCTCAGAAGGCTGACGAGGGAAAATCTGTCCTTCCCCAATCCAAGGCCCAGAGGGATGGTTTTCTTTGTGACTCTAATGTCGCGATGGCCACTCTGATCAACTTGGTTCCTACATCAGATCCTGCCGTGACTAGGCGTGCTTCTTTCAAAAGCAAGACTCATCGCACCATTCGGGGCTTAGCTGAGGTATTCTGAGTTTCTTTTTTAGCCTTCTTCCCCAAAGTGTTTGTTCCTAGATGTCTTTATGGTTCTCCTTATACTAACTAGTTTCCTTCTTTGTTAGTCGCTCGCTTGCGTGAGGATGATGGA